TTTGGCTTTGAAAACAAGGTGCATGGTTTGCAAATAAAGGCATTCTATTATTAACGAATCATGCTTGGCTTATTCCCTTGCATTATTCACTCACTAAGTTATACTCTTATTTTCAAACATTATGTTTTCGGTTTTCAAATACTGTGACCTAGTTCAAATTGCCATCTCAAGAGGGATCCTTGAATCTCGTTTGATATATATGCTTAGTGGTAAACTATGAAGCCTACCTGTGTCACGTTACGTTCCACTGACAAGTCTATTTTAGTAATGTAACTATAAGTGTTGGTTCACACTCTTATTTTGTAGCCAAGAATGATTTTGATGCACATAGATATACATGCACATACATACATACATGTATGTATAGCATGTGGTTTAGTGTGATAGCATGAGGGCCCACGTGGGCACATGGGTTGTGTGAGATGGATGGCATCATGACTTGATATATGTAAAAGCCAAAATGAGCTTGGTGTTTGTTGTAGAATGAAAGTACAGTTATGCATTTTGTTGTTGAAGTTTGCAGATATTTGAATATACATGTGATGGTACTATGTGTAGGTGTTCTTGACAAGTAAGGCTTATTTGGATTAAGGGGTCCTATATTTTCTTGATTCTTGCATTGGTCGTAACCTGAGATTGGGTTGTGACATTAGGGTTGCCATAGAAAGTATTAGGATCACTAAAAGGAGACTGTACTTCAATATTGTCAAAAAATAAACTTTGGAATTGCCAAGAAAAAGTCTTTAGGTTTCTAGGAAAAATTGAGATGATATTTTTGCTTCAAAATTATTGAAAAGAATTATGGGGTTACCGGAAAATTAAAACTTTAGGGTTGCCAAGAAAACTTGTCATGACAATCGTAGTTTCCATAGAAAAGACAACCCTAGAGTTGTCTTTTTTTTTTTTTAATGTCACATTGTTAACTATTGATTGATTGACTTTTATTTAATATCATAACATTCGACAGAAAACATTGGAATCTATGATGCAATAATGTTGAATTCTTCTAAGATATCGTTGGCAAATAATCAATGTTTGAGATTGAAATTTTATGAGATACCCCCTCATAAGAATGTAAAAACTTAATTCATGACACCCATATGGTAGAAAAAGAGTGAATGAAATTGATTTTTGAAGTTTGCGAATGATGATAATCAAATTGTATGATGCCAGATTGACCAAATGCCGATTTATCTTCCCACCATTGTAACCCCAAGACCTATGTCAAAGGATGTGCGGATATCAATAAAATTTCATCTGTCACATAATTTTCTTTTGTCAATATAAAGACTTTTTTTGAATAAAAGTTATACTTTAATATAATAAAAAATAAGACTTTTGTTAAAAAATTTTGAGATGGTTTAAAGACTTATTTCTTATTTTAATAAAAAAAAATACTAAAAATGGCTCCCTGCAGTTTAATCTTTTATTCTACAAATTTTAAGAAGTTGTTTTAAATTTTGAAACATGATCATACTGCGAGGTGAGAGGCAAGTTCAATTGATATGAAAAATGCTGATCGTAGGATGTATGCAAAATTAATGATTTATCTTTAAGCATTTGATTGGATTTAAGAGAAAATGGAGTAGGAGTACCTATAACTTTTTAGAACCTTCTCCTTTTTTTCTTGTCTCTTTGGAACTTTCTAAAATATTAACTTTAGAACTCATTTCAGAGAAAGAATTTTATTGTGTGTGTTTCTTCACTCCTTTTCTCCCCTTCCCTCTCTTTTAGTTTATCTCATTGGTGGCCAACCATATGATAAATCTAAGTAGCCAAAATGGCATCCTCAGGCTTCATTTGCTAGAACTGGGTCTTCCTCTTCCAACACAAAATAATAAACTTTTGAAACCCCGCTGCTTTACATCCAGAGTCTAATCTTAAGCATTTGGAAAAACCCTAAAAGCATTTCATAAACGGAGTTCACATATCTTAGTTATCTACAGTATCAAATCCAGATTATCCCAAGTATCATATGCAATTGATAACAAAATACACTGCACGGTCAGCAACATGATCTCCAAACATCATTGCTCTAAATACCAACAAAGCACAACATAAAACCCCGCATTATCATTTGCATTGTTCAATAATGAGTACTTATGAGTATGCGAATGGCTCATACGCAACCCCAATCACTGAATTGTATAAAACTACAGTAGGTATCACTTACACTTCATAAACTAAGAATCCACAATAATCTTCCCAGAGGCATGGCCATCAATGCTCTTAGCCCAAGCATCTTCAGCCTTACTTAGGGGATGCTTTGAATCAATTACTGTCTTAAGCTTTCCGTCCTCCACCAACTTCACAAGATAGTCAAGGTTCTTTTTCTTAGGTATCAGCATTAATGGAACCAGCTGCTTCTTCGAGAAGGTAAGCTTTTTCAAAGCAAAAGTCATTAAAGCACTAGGGCCAGGAGTAATATCTATTACCTTCCCATTTGCACTCAAATTAGGCTCGAAGGTAGACCAAAGAATGCCCGCTGCACAGTGGATCACTGCATCATATTTGCGACCAGAAGGGCTCTTCAGAGCCGCCCCTTCAGGAGTCTTGTAGTCAAGAACCTCATCTGCCCCCAGGCTCTTGACAAGATCCATGTTACGAGCCCCACAAGTGGCTGTCACATGTGTGTTTCCAAGCTTAGCCAGTTGAACAGCATAGTGACCTACGCCACCTGAAGCAGCAGTAATGAGGAGGTTTACTTGCTGGCTGCTACCGTCAAGCTTGATCCCAGCAGACTGGGTGAGTGCCTGGTGAGCTGTGAGGGCAGCAACAGGCAAACCTGCACCTTCAGCAGCTGATACTTCTGGAGGCCTTGCAACTGTCAAACTCTCCTTAGCCACAACAAATTCAGCTAGCCCACCTCCAGTCTGTCATTGCAAAAATATACTCATAATAAAAGATGGCCTTAGCAAATAACATAAATTATGCTGAATTGCTGATGATACAAGCAGAAGATAAGATCACCATACGACTGACCCACATTAATAATATCTAGGTCTTCTCACAGCTAAATGCCTCGCATAGTGATAGTAATATCACTTCCTAAAAAATGATAGTCACATAGACAAAAGATGATTGCATTCAAAACATAATACAGTTCAATATGAAAAGTAAGAAGGCGCAAAAAATTCTGGTGCTGGGGATTTTCATATAGCTTGAACCAACAAATAGGCCAGTGGAATATCAAACATACATATGTTATCAGAGAAAGGCTTACCATTTAAAAAGTTAAATCTTTCTATCTACAAGAAAAAGCAACCTACAATCAGAAATATAACAGCATTTCAAAGTCCACGGATGACATGACACAAAGGTTTCATTTACTTTGATTCATCCAAACAGGCAAGCAGGGCAATGCTCAGCAGATGTCATGGCTAGAGATAACTAAGCCCACTCATTGGAAGATTGACATGGTTCATTTGGCGCAAAAAAGGCTAGCATTGGTCCTTGAAAAGACTTTATGCAGGTCTATGAAATACTAATTTTATTTCATTGTTGGATTCCGAGGACAAATTCTGAAGTGGATTGTTCGACTGTAAGGAATTCCACTTTTTGTCTTTTCAGGAATTGTTGGGGTTGCATGCAAGTCCGGTTGCACTAAAGTCCTACCAAAGTGCAGCACCCAATTAATTGATTGAGCTAATACCCAAAAACACAAATGCCATCAATCCTCCAAATTTATCTACCATGCTAGTACATTGCTTGCACTTCTTCCACTCTTCATGAGAAATATCCTTTTCTGATTATTCTCAGAATGATTGATGACACACTACCCTACAACTTGTGTCCAAAAATAGCCAGTCACTCGCATTATTACAATATGATAGTGCCTCTTCAGTGAAAAGTCTGCTAGGTTGGACTTCTATACTGATTAAAAATTTGGACAAGATTAAAGCCAGAAGAATAAATATGACAACTTACAGCATGGCTAAGCATAGCCACAACTTTATCCCCAGCATTGTAATTCTTGACTCCTGGTCCAACCTTTATGACTTCTCCTGCAACATCAGTACCTGCTCCACCAAAAGTTCTTTAGCCAAGGGTTGAAGAAAGGCAATCAAAAGATTAGAAGAAAGAAAAGTGCAATGCTTCTCAGAGATCGGAGAACAAGGAAACTGATGATTCGAAGTTCGACGCTTTTAATGTAATTTGCAAATGAAATATGATAGTGAGCCAAATTTACTTCTGAGATATAAAGTCTTAACCTTTATAAAACACTAATTCCATAACAATGGGACCCCATAAATGATCATAAGATTCCGATTAGTGCCTTAACAAAGACACCTTGTGACCAGTAATTTACTTTTGCTGGTTAATAAATACAAATATATTCCTTAGTTAGCAAATAGACATATTCTATCCATTAACAATAGCCTTAGGTAACAAATAGACACATTTTGTCTATCAACAACAGCCACTAAAGCACAATCCATAAATGTAATGCAGATTAAATTACCATGTTGAATCATCCAGACGATATTAAACAAGTCATTATTCAGAATGCACTGCTTGGGAGTTTGACATAGTAAGAAAACCCAGATTTGTAAGACAGATGTAAGTTTAAGAGTAAGCTGATAATGTCAAGTAAATACAAACATCACTTGCGGATTAGAAGAAATAGTCGCGGGAAGATTACAACTATGAAAAGGCCACAAGAAAAAGGTAAACTACCCGGTATGTAGGGGAATTTGCGAGGCCAAAAAGGCCGCAGTAACCCTTTCTGCATTTTCCAGTCAACTGGATTTAGACTAGTCGCCTCCCGTTTTAGCAAAACTTCATCTTGCTTTGGAGTGGGAATTGGAACTTCAACATGCTGCAACAGGGCATAAAATTCGCAGCCGTTATGACATCAAATCTCTCAAGCATTTCTTTTTATTTTTTTTTAAGTTTATGAAAGCAGGAAAATGCTGGATGCACGTTTGCAAAAAATATGTTACCACTTCGCTGTCAGCCTCTTAGACCCTTTCTGAGAGCAAATCCTGAACTTGACCACCCATTTCTTTCCACACCGGAAATTCAAGTTTCCTAATGCCTACCCTCCTTCAAATATCTCGAAGCTTTCAATCAAAATTTATTTATTCAATGATAAGGTTTTAAAACCCTTCTTCCCCCTTCCTTGATCAATAAAGCACTAGACTAACAACCTTATTTGAAATGTCCATTCTAAAAAACTAAGATAAAACACAAAACAGTAATATAAAAACAACCCAAATCACATAATTGGAATCAAGTAAATCACCTTCAAACCAGCAGCTCCTCCGCCATAACTACTGTATTGAACCGCATGCATAAGAGTCTCTGCCATTTTTTCTGAGAGGAGATAAAGCCGAAGCCCCTTTTAAGTTTGTCGCGAAGGCCAAAAGAAACAGGGGAGGTGGCAGCGGGGAATGGTTCGGCTGTTTGATACTTGGATTTATAGTAACCAGGTATTCAAATGTAGGGTCCACATGGACAAATAGGCGGCCATACCCCTAATCCAACATTTTCACAGGAAGTCTCTTAACACAACACAGCGAAGGATTTCACTGAGTTTCCGATTTTGCGTGGGTGAAATTGGTAGGCTCTAGAATGTAGATAAGAAAACAAAACAATCATAAAAGGTATCGGCTAGACGAGATGCCCGTAAAAGCTAAATGACACGGTTCATGGTAAAAGCCTACCTAAAACTACATGTCATACTTTATAATTACTAATCAGGTGACACACTGTATAATTGTATATTTCATGATGGCATGCTTCATGGTAAAATAATATAACAATCTTAATGGTATACAAACTACATGGCATACAAATATTACAATCCTAATATCACTAAATGACATGTCATAGTTATATTGATCTTAGTAATATATGCATCTATATGGCATTGTTGATAAATCATGCACTCAACTGACACAAAAACATAACGGATATTAAAATTTTTTTGCCAAAGTAAATCAAATATTGGTATGTTTAAGATAGATTATCCTACCTACAAGGAAGAAGATAAGTAGACCTTTCAATCGTAGATGTCAAAATTCACAACATTCAAAATTTGGATTGTCGAAACTTCCAAGCATCAAGAGTAAGAGTTTTTGCAAACTACAAGATGTTCAAGTGTCCAATCTTCGACAGTGATTCACAAAATCGACAAGTGAGAAAATTGTGAGTGCCTAAGTCAATATCAAATGTGAGTAACAGGTTTGATTTTCTTCACAAGAATGCCAAAAGAGTATGTTGTGTTATTTGGTGCAACCAAACTATTCATTTATGTAGGCAACTTCACAAATACTATTCCTAGTAGAATTTGTATAACTTTTATGCTATTTGTAAAATTATCCAATTCAATTGAACCCTTTTCAATCAAATCTTTGAAGTTCTAAATTTCTTTATAATTAAATCTAATTGAATTTACTATTTTAATTTCCCTCATAATCACTTTCGACATATGCAACCCATTAGATTCTTAACATGTTGATAATAAATATGAATTATAAACCTAATAAGATAAGAAGAATAAACTCCTTTGCATATATTATCATTTTCAAATTGATTAATTTACATTGATAGATCAAAATTGACATTTAGTAATATGTCATGACCATCTAAAAAGGGTAGCATTAGAAGGGAGTAACAGATCAGTGCTCCCTTAAGCAGCCTTAAATCAGGCTTCCCAAGGGAACTCTGGTGTTCCTTGGGAGCTTTTCTTTTTTAATTAAGAAAAAAATTAATAAAATTATATAATAGTAATTTTAAAAATTAATCAAGGGTAAAATTATCATTTTACTCTTGTCACATCATCAAATTGACGAAAGTACTAACGGTTGATTAACGATTGGACCTAAGTATTCAGTGGCAACTAATTTTTTTGGGAGGGAGTGTTTATTTTAAAAACTAATGGACCTTCATATAATTTTGATCAAAACTTAAATTATCTTCTTCTTCTTCTTCTTTTTCTTTTTTGTTATTGGAAAAGCTTAGAAAGTTTAATTTCAAGGGAAATTAGCTTAATTTAAAAATTAAAGTTATTTTTAAATATGTTAAAAATACTCAAGGCCTGCCAAATTTAAAAATACATTCTTTATATTCCAATAAATATAGTTAATACTTATCATATTTGAGCTCATAATATATCAAAAGAAAGGTATTTGAATTTTCTTTTCAACCATATAAAACTTGTCGAATAATTCTTTACATTTGAAAATTTATGAAGCTCAGAATCAACTAAACTCATACAATTGAAGTAAAAATTCTTTCAAATGATTTTAAAATTAAGTTTAAAGCATTATTATCACACCAATTCCAATTCACCCGGAGTTTAAAATGTTTTGCAACCATAGATTATTAGGGTGGAAAATCTGATACTTAAAAAGTAGTAAGTAGTATTTACTTAGAATGACAATACAATGTTAATACGAAACTTTAATTTAACTTAGTTTGTTTAAAGTTAAAGTTGTAGGTGGGTACAACTTTCGATTATTGATTAATTTCAAGAAATTTTGCAAGATGGTATGTGATGAGACAAAAGCTAGATTTGCAATAGTATAGTAAATAGTACTTACTTTGAACGACAATTTCATGTTATTGCAAGAATTTGATTTAATATAGTTCATCTATGGTAGAATGTTAGTTGGATGTAATATTTGGTTATTGTATAAGAGATGACATGAATGCTAGAATCTACAATTGTTGAAAGTAATATTACTTAGAATGACAATATCATGTTAATGTAGGAAATTAATTTAATTAAGTTAATCTATAATTAGAATTGTATGTGAATACAAATTTTGATTATTTTTTAATTTCTATTAATTTGGAAGGATGGTTTGAGATGTGATGAATGTTAGAATCTACAATAGTAGTTAGTAGTAACGACAATACCATGTTAATGCAAGAATTTATATTTAGTTCCTTTGTAGTCAAAATTGTAGGTTGATGCCTCTTTCAATTATTATTTAATTTCAAGTACTTTGGCAAGATGGCATAAGGTGAGATAAAAGTTAGAATCTGAAATAATAGTAAGGCTTAGAACAACAATTCCATGTTATTGTGAGATTTTAATTTAATTTTAGTTCATATATGCCACATCTCATTTTTTAGGATATGATTAGAGCAAGGACCTATGTGGGTATGGCCCAATAGGCCCAAGTAAGCCTTTTACGTACTTTCATACATATTCTAGCCATTCATAACATGCATCCATAACACCATTCACTAAATCAATCATGCTTTCTTGTGTGCCATCATAACGTTGTGGAATTCTACATTATGACACGTGGAAACACTATCAAACATTTAAATCAAAGTGTATTTATCATAACTCATAAAATCTCATCATAACATGTATAGGCACCTTAAATACTTAACTAGGCTTGTGAGCTATCATAAACATTCAATTGTTAAAAATATGTAAAACATAATGCCACCATGAAGCTACATACTCATAAAAGAAACATAAAACAACATGTGAACATAACATAAAGAACAACTCATCAAAGGAACATGACTCGACCCTCTAAACTTCAAGTGGGCTACTAAAATACCTACCAAGAAAAGACTGGGAGCTTGTCTCTATAACAAGGGTAGTAAGCTAATCACTGATCCGCAAAAACATAAAAAATTTATAGATGAGTCACAAAGACTTCGTAAATAAATATGAGAAGGAGACAGAAGAGCTTTTGCACAAATCATAATTTGCATAATCATGACAACATCAAATCTCATATGTTTCTTTCAAATCTTGGAAAACAATGTTGTCATAAAGCCAGTTCAATTGATTTAGTTGAAAACGACAATTCTTAAACATTTAGCTTGAAAAGAGAGTTGAATACATGTGAAAAACCTTTTAAAAGAATAAGGAGGTTATATTGCACTTGAGGTATTGATGCCTTTTTATGGGATATCGATCCTTGTCTCACAAAGCACGAACTTTGGGCAATTTCTTATATTTTTTCAACTCTACTTTACTTCATATGCTTGGGGACAATCATGTAGCCTAAGATTTCACTTGGACTCAACCAAATAGCATTATTCCTCAACTACTAAACATCAAGTTCACATTCACAACTTGGTACATAATCTCTTTAGAATCTAATGTATCTATTGATGTTAATTTCATCTAGAAACATACCAAGGACAATGATACAATTTCGACTATCTAAGATTATCGAGGATAATGGTATAGTCCCCATTATACAATTCCCACTATCTAAGATTATAGAGGATAATGGTACAGTCCCCATTATCTTGGCAATTAAGGATAGTGGTACAATCCCCACCATATTAGATATATTATGAGTGGAATTCCACCCTAACTTATGGTTAAGTATAACTATGAGTGGTACATGTCCCACATCAACACTCTCGTAAATTTATAAGATTTAATATATCCATAGCTAGTAACATTTCTATCTCATAATCGTATTTCTCTATAGCTCATACTCATAATCATACTTACCTCATGATATGTGCGGTACTACTTCATAAACCATACTCATAATCATTATTTACATGTTCATATAAAAGCCACATAATCATTTCATAGTTGTATGGGTGGAAATATATACATCCATTAAACATCTTATCAAACATGTTTACATTTCATACTCAACATATTATCTTGAATTCATTTTGAAGGAAATCATTTGAAAGGGCTTGTCCCTTTTTGTTAAAAATTAATACATAATAGATATGTTATATACATCATAGATTCGAAAACCCTTTTCTAAGCACCAAATTTAGATAAAAGTGCTATTATAGACATAGCATTTTTAAATCATGATGATTAAACAACTTCATAATATCATATTTTACTTTACATATTAAAATTCTTAAAAAAGTGTATCCATTCACCTTAAAAAAAAACATCTTTCTTTAGCCGTCGATTCACCAAGCTTTAGCTCAATCTACAATCTTTGAGTTTAAATACCTTATTATAAATTAACCTAACCATGAGTTTTCTATTTTCCTCTCAAATCCATAAAATCAAAACAAATCGAGTAAACTACCATTTCTTTTATTCAATACCAATAAGCGTAAAACTTCAATCCCATAGTATTTATTACTCTACCATAAGAGTCATTAACTTAGTGAGTCCTTTGAATAGTAAAATCCCTAAAAATCTTCAACTTAAAGGGAGAAAGTTGCTGATATTCATAGTGAGAGAAAGTTAGTCTAAACCCATGGATTTTAAAGCTTAATAAGGTTAAATCTTACTTTAAATTCAAGTTTGGAAGCTTAATCCTTGGTAAATATGGCTGAGAGTGGAAAAGAAAGGTTGGGAGTGTGAGAAGAAATTAAAGGAGGCTGAAAAAAAGTGAAATGAAAAAGTAAGGCTCGTTTAGGGGTAATTTTATTTTTTCTCATTGAGCTTTAAGGATCAATCTATTCTCTCTTGAGGGTCAATCCTTGGGCCTTATT